CTCTCTCTCTCTCTCTCTCTCTCTCTCTCTCTCTCTCTCTCTCTCTCTCTCTCTCTCTCTCCGTGTGTGTGTGTGTGTGTGTGTGTGTGTGTGTGAATGAGTGTGTAAGTGAAGGAAAACGAACCAGCACAATGATCCAGTGCCCCAAATTGAGCCTACCACAGTGGTATGCAGGAAGGGACAATGCTTACGCAATGACTAAGGTCTAAAACTTCGCAAGTCCACCACCAGTTCCGTCACTTTTGAAAAAACAAAACGCAATGAAATGAACCTGGCGGTCCTTCGGGACATCCGTTAAAATTGGAACGATACAGAGAAGATTAGCATGGCCCCTGCGCAAGGATGACACGCATAAATCGAGAAATGGTCCAAATTTAAAAAAAAAGAAAAAAAAGAAAAAAGAAAAGAAATGAACCTGGCCTGAATCAAGGACTACGTCCTTGTTTTTCTTACATACCTGTGAGCACCGCACGCACGATACCCGGATCTTTGGCACAGCCGCTGCACGGCGAGACGTCATCCTTCACAAAACCCTTGAATCTCAACTCCGTAACCAACTGCTGCCGCATCCCCGACAGCATGAACATGGTAGCATTCGAGACGAAGTTATTTACACAGAACTCCCTCTCCCGGCCCTTTCTCCTCGCAATATCCCATTCTTCAAATCTGCAGCTCCCCTCACGCACGTCCACACACACGCATCAATGCAATGTTTCAATTAATAGGTCCTTTCTGCACAACCACTGTAATTTGGGCAGCTCCACTAGTGGCCCGTACGTTTCCTAAAACTGTGGCTTGTTAACGGCCACGACTTTGGGAAGTACTGGTGGTTTTTAAAAATAGGCAGCAGAGCAGGCACGATCAGCTGACACATGGCAGCGTAAAAAGCTAGTGGGGACCACGTACGAGCTCCGACAATATGACACAGCATCTGAGGGCTTCGCTCCACTGTATAACATTCGAAATGTATCTGGACCTTCACTGGTCTCCCTACTTTCGAAATGATCTGGTCCAGTTTTGCATTCCAGATATATGTTGAATGTTGAGTCGTGGAGTGACGCCTTCAGTGACTCTCACCGCATCCCATGGGGGCCCAAGAACAACTACAAAAGCAAAATGCGAGTGTTGAGCGGAAAGGTATTATGCCAAACATCTCACAGCAAGATCATGGCATGATTACAACACACGACATGATTACACACGAACACAGGTGTAAGAAGACTTGTGAAGTTATGATCGATTCACATCGCACGTTAAGCACGCCCCCGTTCAGTCCATACAAACACCCCTTCCTCCGCCTTACACGTCCGACAAACCCAACACATGCGCCACCGAAAACCGATAGCGCACAGAGAGGACTATCACTTCTCAACCATTCTCTATATCCCGGTCAATTCACTCATGGGTACCCTATATGTTCCTGGGACCGACCTACTCCGAGAGCCCAAATCTCAAACAAAACCACACAATAGGATCCCGGGCTCAAAGGGGGCAAACAAATACCCATTTATCGACCCTGGGCCCAAGGGTACGACAACTGGATCGGACCACCACTCCCACAAACGGTAGGCCGCAGACAGCAAAAGAACCAACAGCCTACAACAACCTACCGGAACACATGCATCCAAATTAAGTTTAAGACTTTAAGAAGTTTATGTAACCCCCTGTCACTCCACAGAAAACTTAACCTATCATTCAGGTTGCAAAGAGGCGAAAAAATGCATTCTACAAAGAGGCGAAATGCATTCTACGAGCAGAAAGAACAAAAAAGAAAAAAAGAAAAAAAAGCAAGAAGAGTTGTTTTAGCGTAAAAATAAAGCCTGTCACTCCACAGAAAACTTAACCTATCATTCAGGTTGCAAAGAGGCCAAAAAATGCATTCTACAAAGAGGCGAAATGCATTCTACGAGCAGAAAGAACAAAAAAGAAAAAAAGAAAAAAAAGCAAGAAGAGTTGTTTTAGCGTAAAAATAAAGATCGTGTCTTCACTCACAGTGAGATGACAGCCAGGTGATCGCTGCAGCCACCCAGCTTATCCGAGAATCTCCTCTTTACATCAAAATACCTTTTTCTCTGCATAAAAAAACCCACAAAAAAAAAAAAACACATTTTCCACATCACAACAGGACAGAAACACAAAGTCCGCTCAAGATTAACAAAAAAAAAACGGTCCCCTCAAGTTATCCACCTGACTCCATGAGTTCTCCTCCTTGGGAAAACCAAGGGGCTCGCCACATCAGTCACAAAATGCCAGCATTCTGAATGCATCGGGACCATAACAGGTCCCGAATCCCGATTCATTAAGAATATTGCTGTTTCGCAAGCGGTGCGGCAATCCTCTTAGCGTCCAGAACCATCGAATCAGTCAACACTGCAAAACGCCTTCGATTGTATCTCCTGATGTTTGTTTAACATCGTGTCTAGGTACGTTCAATATACTGCAATCCACCCAACAGACCACAAACAATAAAATATTTATAAAATGTTTATAAAATAAAATGAATAAAATCACCACGCCATAGATGTGGTGGGGTGAGGTGACGTGAGCTTACTGCGCATTTTCCGCTGCATGGGTTCCGGATTAACTCGCAATTGATTGAATGAATTTCATTCTACTCAACAATACAAATGTTCCCGCACCAGTTGACGTGGAGAAGGCGGTCACGCGCACAGCATGCAATGTTTGTTCACAGTGCGCCAGTTAACGTGGTGAGGGCGTCCACGTGCACAGTGTGCGATGAGCGTCGATAAAAAGGAAACCGCCCAATAGCGATGGGCAGGGCACTCGCTGCCGCGGTTTCCCGCCATGTTGGGGTGTGTGGGCCCGGACGGGGCGGATCGACAGGCGGGGCAGAGTGTCTAGTGCAGCAGGTGTACTACGCCGGACTGTTTCTTGCCTGTTGCCGCCTTTCTTCGGCCAATCTAAACTGTGATAAGTAACCGGACTGCTGCCCCCGAGAGTTGATGGGGCCTTGTTTGTTCAAAATAAAAAATAAAAAAATTGGTTGACGGAAAACATGTCGGAACTTCTGAAGTGGTTCACAAAAGAGGCCCTCAGTAGTCCCCGGCGGAGCGGTGGGTGATAAGCACTCTGGTCATGACAGAAAAGGAAAAATAGTAAAATACAGTGAGCAGTGAGCACATACATCAGCATTTTTCCTTTACCTGTCCTTCCGGACATCCGTTGAAATTGGAACAATACAGAGAGAGAAGATTAGCATGGACCCTTGTGCAAGGACGACACACTTAAAAAACAACAACAACAACAACAACAACAACAACAACAACATTAAAAAGCAGACATCACGACTTCGACTTTCAACGTGCGTACAAACAGATGACGATCAGACTGGCGGCTTGCGCCCACACAAAGCTCAGAGATAATGAGGACAGGAACACAACTCAGATTTAAACTTGTCCTAGTCAGCTATGGCCGACACTTGCACTCTCCCAACTTGTTCATACACACACACTGGATCTCCCTGGATGTCCCGCACATACACTCAGCATAGCACTCTCAAACACACACGCTAGCAGCCTATCTCTAACCTATGGCAGCTATGGCTGCCTCCTTCCTCACTAACTACCCTAGCGGCTATGGCCGCTTCTTCTTCCTCACAGCCCACTTCTCCTTCGGGCACCTGCAGACCACCTTGCACAAGACGCCCAGGCAGCGCTTCCGCACGGCTCACAGGCAGAATGAATGAATGGCTTGACGCTGCCTCTTGATTTATATTTCGGATTGTCAATGGTGTTCCCTTGGACCCTAGGCCCGGGCTGCACACAGTCCCACATGGTACTTGCTGACTTGACAAAGTGCGACCGGGACTGGGTACCGCTGACTGGGCAGAGTTAGTCTGCCCATTTGCCCACTTGCCTACGGTCTACCTCCTAAGACCTACAAAAGGTCGCTTCAGGAAGCTCCAGAAGGCTGTCAACTTGACCCTACGGCACTGTAGCAGCTACGACCTTGACTCTTGGGGACTGTAGCAGCTACGACTCTTACCACTGCTAAGACTTCTAGCATACAGACCTACAGTTCGAGACCCAACGACCAGCCTACCTACAACAAACACACAGGCGACTCTCAAGACAGAGGAGGTCGCGGGTTCAAACACACAAAGGGCAACTGATACTGTACATGGGTAAGGGCGAGGTCTAGGGCTCGAGCCCTGGGAACAGCATCTGCTACCGTAAAGGTGAAAACCATTTCACACAACTAGTTGGATTGTGAAAGGGCGACGATCAGCGCACTGCAGGAAATGCATACATTGCCAGTCTTCCTTTAGCTGCAAAGGGTAGAGGGGTGAGCATGCTGGCTGCTTACACAAGAAGCCAAGTGCCCCAGCTCAGTTGGCGGTTGTGCACGTAAGGGGTACACAGGAGGTCGCAAGTTTGATTCCCCTCGGCATCCATTGGACTCCCCACCGCCCCCTGGGTGGCATACTTCGGGTTCACCGACTGAGAAAGTCAGCTTGTCCCTCCTGGGTGGTTGTGCTAGTCGCCTCTTTCTTTCCGTCCTATGACAGGTATTAGGACCTTGGGTGCTGCTCCCCTCACACAGAGCAGAATTAGGTAGGACCCTAGGAGGAGGTCGGTGTCAAAACCCATAACTCTCAGAACCAGCCAGCTTGTCAGCATAGATTAAAAAAAAAAAGAAAAAAAAAAAAGGCTTGTCTGTGTAGATATCCATCGAAAAAAATCCAATGGGACTAAAAGGAGTAGATAGGTAGGTAGGGGAAGATATAATGAGAGAAGAATTTTATAGGGTACTAAGTGTAGTTAAAAAAAAAAAAAAAAAAAAAAAGCGCAAACGAATACGTTGACTTTTTCTCTACCGTTACCTGCTCCACAGCTACAGGAATGGAGAACGGGTCTCTGTAGCAGGCCTCGCAGGCCATCGTCAAGGCGGGTAGATATCCATCGAAAAAAATCCAATGGGACAAAAAGGAGTAGATAGGTAGGTAGGGGAAGATATAATGAGAGAAGAATTTTATAGGG